CGGACCTGGGCGACTGGTTCCGGAGCATCCCGCTGATCACGCGCTACTGGTTTGCGGGCTCCATCGCGGTGCCACTCATCGGCAAGTTGGGCCTCGTCAGCCCCGTCTACCTTTTCCTCTGGCCCGACGCCTTCATCAACCGCTTCCAGGTAGGCGCCGCACTGCAACTCCCAGCGTGCCTCGCGGCGCCCGGGCCGCGGCGGGCCCCATGCGTGACGCGCAGGGCACGCTGGGAGTTGTAGTGCGCGGGCGGGCGGCCGCGCGGAGTCCTGCTTTTCTTATGTTGGAAGTTAAAATCCCTCAATTTTGGTTTGCACATGGCTAGGGTGTAGGGTGCGCTGCTGGATCAGAGTGGAAAGTGAAGAGAAAGATTGTGCTCCTTACGCAAGCAGTGGAAAGAGATATGCAAAAAAGACAAGCAACTTTTTCTGCAGTCTGTTTTATGACAGACCCCTGGATGCACTGGTTTAAATGACTGTTTCTTTCTGTAGTTCTGTTAATTTTTCTTGGGCTGTGGTGTTTGGGATCGCAGTACGTTATTCTGAAATGGGACCCTTTGAAGTGGCTCTTTCATAAATAGATATTGCTGCCTCGCTGATGACTGTACCTGATACCGATAGCTGAGGGCGTTTCTGGAGCGAGTGCAAAGTGCTCAGAATAGTATGTTTTGCTATCTGGAAATGCATTTTAAGGCTACTGTTTGAACTCCTTGCTGAAGGTTTGTGTCTGTATAAGTTTGAACAAATGCTCAGTGGACACCTGTAAAACTTGGGTAGATAATGGCAAGACAACAGGTCTTCCTGTTCTACAGCAAGAATCTTTCTTGTGTTGCAAAATTGCTCAGTGCTGTGAGGATGTGATGGGAATGATCTTAAAAATTGTGTGTGTGTTCTGTCACAATCTGGATAATTTTGCTGATGGGTCCATGAAAGGAAAAGCTTGTAAAAGGTGCTGAAGCAGCAGGATTGGATACACAGACCGGTTATCTCTAATCTGCTCCTTAATCTTCCACAGATCTGGCGGCCAATAACTGCAACTTTCTTCTTCCCAGTGGGACCTGGAACAGGATTTCTTTATTTGGTGAATTTATACTTCTTGTATCAATATTCATCACGGCTAGAAACAGGTATGTTGTCCGCTAAGTTGTAAACACTGCCCAGAATTAATTTTGACTTACATCATATGGCATAATGACTTAGTGTTGTCAGTTAGAGCTTCTCTTGCTCGTGGCACAGGCAGAGACAGGCATGTGGCTGAGTTGGGCAGAAATATGAGGAAATTGGCTTGTCTCTGCGCCCACTTGTTCTGGTCAATGGGTAGCTGCTCTGGAAACTGAGTGGTGTGAGCGGCCCTTTACCTTTGGAAGGGAGCTTATTCATTTGGGGTCTAAATGTGACACTTCTCCTGTAGATACAGCCTGGGGCTTCCAGCTGTTGGAATTCAGGTGTGAGGATAAAAACCAACTTTACATCTCTCTTGCTGTGTTTGATCGCTTTTACATGAAAGTTTGCTAAAACACATATAACAGCAGGTATATTCCTTTTGGGAAAATAACAGTCTTGTATTCCCTGTGCTCCTCTGTAGTTTGACTTGACTTGAAGGAGATTTCGTATGGATGAAATGCACCTTTCTGTCAAATAGAAATGTCAAAAGCTTAGGAACTTAGGAAAGGTTGGACTTCAATCTAGAGGGGAAAAAAAAAGGGAGCAGAGAAAAAGAGATCAGGTTATGGAAAAAAGCACATTTTATGGAAAAAAAAAGCATCATTTTGATGGTCTCAAAAGAGAGATTGTCATTAGAAGGTAGCTTCAAAATTGTTTTCATTCTGTTGTACTTTCAATTAGGACTTGACATAAATTATTTTAGAGGAGATAATTAAGCTAAAGTATCCTTCTGAAAGCCCTTGGCAAGAAGAATTTGTGTAGTTTTAATGAAGTCTTAGAGCTGATGGTATATGTGGCAATGTGTAGTAAGATGATGTTTGTATAGGCAGAGGAAGAGGTCTCCAGTAAGTCTGTCTTCCAGGGAGCATTGTAAAATTCCACCTTTTTTTTTTTTTGTCTTAAGAATAGTAGTAGTAGTCCCCCTTTTCTCTTATAGTGTCTTACAGACATGCATGCAGGAGTGTGGTGTTTATGATATTCTATTGTGCAAAGCTATGTGTAGAAAGAGTTCCTTTTTTAATGCGTTGTAAGGCATCAGCTATCTAGGTGGCTATGCTGTAGCACAAGGTCAGGAAAGGCACTGGAATAGATTTGCACTGTTGCTGTATGCATCTGGAGTTTGAAACTGGGAAATCTGCTTATCTGATGTGTTTTTGTTGGATCTGATACATGTCATCTCTTCGTTAATGGTCATTTTTCATGGTATAAAGTTTTTAATTGGGTTGGTCCTTCCCTTTCTTCAAAAAAAGAGAAATGTAGTTATTACAGTGGGAGGTGTTGTTGGTTGGAGGGGAAAGGTGCTGTTAATGTATTTACAGGTTGGAATCAGCAGAGATCTGTCTCCCTTTGCCAGTGAAAATAAGGAAGTCAGTGTCTTTATTTTCAGGGCTGTGTCTGGCTTTTGAGCATACACCACTGTTACATGTTAACTTCAAGTTTATGTGGGGAGGAGATTTAGCTGTAAAAATACCCATATGGTTGTGTACCAGGCTTGTTGTGTTTCCCTAACAAGCTGAGCTCTGCCTTCCTGAAGCAAATGGGATTGATGTGTTTTGTCTTGCTTCGCTTGTGAAGAACATAACGAATATCAGCAGAGCAAATGGGCATGTGCAGAGACTGCTGTAGGAGTGAAGAGGGGATGAGGAGAAAGGAGGGATGAACCTGCAGCAATTCCAGGATGACTGCACTGTATTTTGGGCACCACCGATGGGTCCAGAGGCCACCTCATCCCTATGCTGGACGAACTCATTACAGCAAAGGGCTTTCACACCTTCGGTATCTGTCACTTTTCATGAGTCTGTAGCTTAATTTTGTCAGATATTAAATAGAAAAATCAACTTAAGCACTCTAGGAGATTATTAGCAAGAATTTGAAAAATGAAAAGTGGAAAAGTTGAAAGGAAAAGTGTTTCCTTTGCTTCCTATAGCGTTGGCTTCCTCCCTTTATTTGTCGACATTCGTTGTATGGCAGCAATAAGGAGAAAACACCAATTCAGATAGTTTTCCAAACTTGAAACTTTCTAAAGTGTATTTTTGAAGTGATTTTTCTCCCCCTGCTTCATCCCCAACTTGTGTGGTTAAACTTAAATAATGAAATGACTGAAATAGCAGTTTTGCTTCACATAGGCTGAGCTATTCTAGTAATTTTTGTTGTTTGTTTGTTTTTTGAGTTCGTACTGAGATGATGTTGTTGTTTTTAATTTTGGGGGACATGTGAAGTAGCTGCAGTTTATTTTAATGCCCATTTTTTCAGCTTGCCTTCTTTGGTAGTGGAAATTCCTGGGTGTTTTCGTGTTTAATTTGGTGCAATTCAGCTTGCTTCTTGTGCATGATGTTTGTTACTGCATGTTTTGAGTGCACCTCACTAGTATTCTTGGGCTTTTCATGCCTATTTGGGGTTATATTAGGCTTGATAGGGATCCCACTCAGAAGCTGAGGACTTTTATAAGAGACTTACCAGAATCTGCCAAAGTGGGAGCTTAGGATTTCCATGGTTATGAAGGGTGGTTAGTTTTGTTTGTTTGTTCATTTTTGTGGGTTTTTTGTTTGTTTGTTTTTTAACACAAATCTCATAAAATTAAAAATGCTGTTCCCAGTTCTGAACATGCATCAAGCTTGTAAGAAGGAACAGTGCATGCATGCATGCATATCCATGCACGTGTGTGCTCTTCTACCACATTTGTTAACTTTTCTGGAGTCTAAAAATAGTCATATCTCTTGAGTCTGACCAGATGATGCAAGAAAAATGCAAGTTGGGTAAGAAAGGACTAACTTTCCTATGACTTCATAGTTAAACTCTGTCTCTCTACTTTTATTGCATAACTGTGTTTCCTTGCTATGTGCTTTTGAGTGGTAACTCCTTAGATGGGACTGGATCTGACTCCCATTACATTGTATGAAGCTAAATCCACTTGCCTTCAACAGAGTTAGTATGATGGTGTGTGTATGGGTGTCTTTTGGGCTGTTTTTGTTTTTAATGAAGAGCTGATGTGTGTATGTCCTGTGCAATAGGCTGAATGTCTTAATTTTTAGCTCTGCAGGTTGTTCTGTTATAAGGAATAAATACCAAACCCATAAGCTACAGGCGGTATTTAGGGTAACGATTAGTACCTGAGGTTTTCTTAAACTTCTAAAAGTAAAGAAGTTAAGGAAGGTGATTCACAAATGCTAGCTTGCCATATTGTGGCCTTTGCTTAGTGTTGGTCGCCTTCATCAACTGTCTTAAGTTAATTCCAATCAACATAGTGTCTTGATATTTTTTTCATCAAGTTTTCAGTACCTTGCAAGGGTTTTTCTAATGATTCTTCTTATTTACAGGTGCTTTTGATGGACGACCAGCAGATTATATGTTCATGCTTCTATTTAATTGGATCTGCATTGTTGTATCCTTCTGCTCATTAAATTTCTGGAGTATTTTGGTTCTCCTATTTCTGCCTGAAATATGTTCAAAGACCAGGTTTTATCAATGATTTTATAAATGGTGTTAAAAATGTAGTGAGAAGGAGCAGCAAGTGACCCAGAAGGAGATTCCTTATAAATATACTAAGAAAGGTGTGTTATCTGGGGATTAGAGATCTGCTTCTATAATGCTCTGTTTGTGCTTCGTGGATTTTTGTCATGTTCACTGTGTTGCCTCGACTAACCACTTCTGTGACCACCTCTGGGCTAGGAGCCCTTGTGTTAGTACGTTTAGTATGTTTAAGATGGCAGGGGCAAACAGGTCTAATCTTTGCTCTTTGCTGAGTTGGAAATTCAAGGGTACCTCATGGCAGGACATGTCACCTGCTGGTCACAAGTTGGCTGTGGAAACTGTGTCACTTTTTTTTTAATGTTACAAGACAGGAAATTTTATTTAAATGTTTTAAAACAAGAAAAAAAGTAGCAACATTACTAAATACTGAGTAAGGCTGGAGTGGAATGAAAAATTTTCATCTGGAAAACTTGCTTTAGATGGGGAGCCCTGGATGATTCCAGGCCTCACTACAGAGTGAGTTTATTGCTTGAGCAAAACCGCTCTGAACAATTCTCAATAGTACTTCTTTATTCTTTTTTACCATACCCCATTAGAAAAAAAATCTCTGTTCCTGTTCAGTTCTTGCTGTTCTTAGCCTGCTTTATAGCAATTTGCAGTAGCACAAAAAGCAGGCAAAAAAGGGAGCTGTGACTTCAGCATGAACCAGATAAGCCAGAAGAGCGACTGTGTAGAAATCTGCTGCTTTATTAATAGATTGATTATCTGCAGTCACATTCCACTGCGTGGAGGGAATTGTTACCATCAATCCTGCTAATCTCGTTGAACTACATAGTGACTAGGAAAACAGCCTAGGTTTAGTCACGTTGTTAAGAAAACCATCAGCTTAATTCTCCTTGCAGGCAGTTGAGCTGTGAGCAGGTGGAGGAATCTGGTTATGACTTGACTTTCAAAATGATCATTTGAAAGTTTCCAGTTGCTTGTTCTGTACACGATGTAAGGAGTAACCTGAATCCATATTCTGGGAAAAAGCTTGGTACCATCTTATACTCATTCCTGAACTACTAAAAGCATTCTGATCATAGCAGGATTCGTCAGTAATTGTTTCTCTCCAGCAGTCACCACAGCAAGCGGTCCTTCATTTTCCAAGTTGGGAAAATGCTATTAAAAGCTTGCTTTGAGAGACTTCAAGAAGTTATTCATTTTCTATGACCTATTGGTGAAAGTAGATGGGTTTTTTTTTTCTGATTTATTATCTTTATAAAAAAGAGCGCTTTTATGTTTAAAAAGACTAATGAAAGAATCAAATCCTGGCCTGCCACATGATTTTCTGCAAAGACTGGGTTTGGTAGGTACATCAACCCTGTGCATTGGTCCGTACATCGTAGAAGGCTTCTCATTTTCCAAAGCTTCTCATGATTCTGTACATTTAAAGGCCTTTCTGTGTGTTCAGTGTTTGTTTGTGTAGCTTCTTTTTGTCATTCTTATCTATCAAGTTCTGTTGCATTTTCCTTAGTGATGCAATGACAGATAACTGGCCTGGCAATGGACATGCAGGTAAGTGAAGTGCAGTTTTTTTTAATTAATCTTTTGCAACTTTGTGGCTATTTAATGACTTTATAGACAGTAGCATAACAGCACAGCATGAGTTAAGCGAGGCTGCTTTAGTTTATATCAAAATAGACTAGTTAGGTGTGTACTGTTAGATTTTGGCTTTCAAAGTAGCTTGTGTTAGCCTCAGGTAGCCTGATCAAAAGCTCATGGCCCTACATAGTGTCAACAGAAAATCAAGGAATGAAAATCTGATCTTCTAGTTAGGAAGTGTTCTGCCTTTTACTAAAACAAGCCCAGGATTACACCTGCGTACTGTTTTCTCTCATGGGTACAGAGTAAGATCTGTAGATGTGCGTTCTTAATCCTTCTAGCTAAAAACAATTCTTGGGCTCGTTAGATTTCCGAAATTCATTTCACAGCATTCCTTTCTTTTGCTTACTGACAGAAGAGCTTTTTGTGAAGAACGCAGCTTGAGATTCGTACCAAACATGCAAAGTGCGAAGTCCTCTTAAGAGTGATTAAAATGTCAGTCTCAATAAGGCAGTTCTTACCTGCCCAAATTCTAAGGAGGAAAGTGGAGAAGCATTTGCTGGGCGCAAGAGAGTATCTAATCGGATAACTTTAGTTTTCAGCCTGCCTCTGGTGTTCATTCTTTATCTAATTTCTGGCCCTGTCACCCAAAGCCTAAAGCAATAGCTCCAGTATTTTGTATAGGGTTATTTTAGTATTTATTAGATCACGTACCAGTTTCTTCTGTAGATACAAAGAGTGATTGTGCATCTGCAGTCAGGATTGAGTTCAGTGATGGACTGTCCCTAATTTGGCATTTGAAACTTTCTAGCTGAGAGGGGTAGATCCTACAGAATTATTTCTTAAAAATGTTGCAGTTGCATGTGTACTTTCTGAAGTGAGGCTGAACCACAGATTTGTGTCATTCTCATAAAAGGGAAATTAAAATGACTTAAGAATTACATTTGGAGTATTACTTGAAAGAGGAGTGGTTCTTTGGTGTAAAAACTGTGCGTTTTGTGTGTTTTTGTGTTTTTTTTTTGCTCGTGTTGAATGGCTTGTGTGCAAAGTGAGAAGAGTGTTACCTCAGCTGGGCCTTTATCTCCATGTCCAATACTTCCAGAGTCTGGACCTGGCTCCATTTCCCAGGAAGCGAGTGCGTGCCCAGTGAACAGCTCTGTGGCGCTCGGGGAAGCGCTGAGGCGCCGTGGGGCTCGCGCAGGGCCGTGTTGACCCGTGTGTGCCAGCGCTGACGAGCTGCGCCTCGAACTGCAAAATCACAGAGTCACAGAATGGCTGAGGTTGGCAGGGATCTCTAGAGATCATCTAGTCCAACCCTCTGCTCCAGCAGGGACACCTAGAGCACATGGCACAGGGCGGCATCCAGGCGGGTTTGAAGATCTCTAGAGAAGGAGACTCCACAACCTCTCTGGGCAGCCTGTTCCAGGGTTCTCGCACCCTCACAGGAAAGAAGTTCTTCCTCACATGGAGATGGAACTTCCTGTGTTTCAACTTGTACCCATTACCCCTTGTCCTGTCAGTGGCCACCACAGAGAAGAGTTTGGCCCCATACATTCTCTGTTTACATTCTCTCCTCAGGTACTTGTACATATTGATCAGATCTCCTCTCAGTTTTCTCTAGGCTAAACAGGCCTAGCTCGCTTAGCCTTTCCTCATACGATAGATGCTGCTGTCCTTCAATCATCTTTGTCACTCTACATGGGACCCTCTCTACAAGCTCCACATCCCTCTTATACTGGGCCACCCCTGAGCGGATATATTTTAATTTCAGTTCCAACTAGCCAGGCTGCTTGGTGGTTTTTAGGCCAGTTACAGGAATGTGGTTATCAGTGTCTCTCCTCAGTGTAGAAACTGTCAGAGAGCTTGCCTGCTGCTTTGTATTTGCTTTGCTGCTCATAGCTGTGATTGCACGGAGCTGGGGAATGTTAGCAACAATCTCACCTCCCAGGAAGAAGGCTGAATTGAGGCTCTACCCGAACCAATTACCACGTCTGGCTGTGGTACTTGGAGCTGGTGATGCTGACACAGCGGTACAGCTCCTTTTGGCCGTGGTTGCTCCCCAGAGAGGCATAATGGGCAAATAGATGCTTCATCTGGCATCTTAGCTTAGCTGCAGGAGAGGGTTAGTGCCCTGGCTCCCGAATGGAAGTGACTGAGGCACAAGGATGTTCTGCTCTGCTGGCTCTGGGAGGAGGGGTAGGTACCAAGCAGACAGGGCAGTCACTCCCAGTCAGAGTGGGAACCCAGCGACTGTTTCTCAGATACTTTTTTGTGTCTCAGCTGTGCTGCGCTGAAACACCAGTGTGTCTGCGTTGAGAATGAGGCGAGTCTAATGGTATAATGATCAGAAAAATCTGTGTGTTTTATATGTGAATTAATCATAGAATCATAGAATGCTTAGGGTTGGAAGGGACCTCTAGAGATCATCTAGTCCAACCCCCCTGCACACGCAGGGTCACCTAGAGCACGTGGCACAGGACTGCATCCAAGCGGGTTTTGAGATCTCCAGAGAAGGAGACTCCACAACCTCTCTGGGCAGCCTGTTCCAGCACTCTGTCACC